CGCCCATATCTACTCATAATTCTTAAAAACACCAGCTGTCCTCCTCATACCGGCTCCTACAACACTTTTTAAACATAACCCCCACAGAGAAAATAACTTCACAATCAGCTCTCCACAAAGAAACTTGTGCGGCAGTAACAGAGCCGATTTATCCAGTGCATTATGTGCCGTATTACTCTGCAAATCAAGCCGTGTATCTGGGGAGAGGAATATTTTCCAGCTCAATAAGTGAAGCATAACAGAGGTGTGGATGTGATTCATAAAGCAGGTGCGCTAGTGTGCGTTCCTCCGCTAACAGGGGATCTGAACTCAACGCCTCACTGAACACAGCATCTGTTCGGGCCCCGAAAACATCCAAGTTCTCCATTTGAAAGGCGGTTCTGTGAAGGAACTGAGGAAGTGTGGAGCTCGGGTTGACCTGTAATCTCTTCTGTAATGAGGACGGAGCATTAACGAGCACTAATTAGATGCATTTCCCAATGCTGAAGGTCAGAGAGCAAAGGATGAGGAGCTATAGGGGTCAAAAACACACACACAGAGAGAAAGAGAGATAGGGTGCATCTCAATCAACACTCTGGTTGACCAGCTGTCTCTTTTTCTACAATATTTTACTTATGAACTCTTTTTATTTTAACTAAAGGTCTTATTTTTGATTTTTAAGTGCACTTGCTTTAGAAGCACTGAGATGTATTAGAAATTCATGGAAGTATATACGAGATGAAATAATGTGAAGCTTTTTGTGTTTGATTTATACAGCGCTTAAATGTGTGTTTTTAACAAAACAAAGAGTGCATCTCAATCAGTAGCCATGATCACTAGTTAGTGCACTGATCAGGGTTTTAGTGCTGTTTTTGTTTTTACAACTGAAGGATTTATTTTTGCTGCACACACTTAAGAAACAATGAGATGTATGAAATATGGTGTCATCACTGTGAAACGTTTTGTGTTTTGATGCATTAAAATGATGCATTTGAGCACTTAAAACTAAACAAAACTAAGGGTGCATCTCAATCGGCAGCCTTGTTCACTAGTTAGTGCACTGATCAGGGCGTCAGCTGTTTTTAGTGCTATATCTTTTTCTATGTATTGCATATTAACTCTTTTACCTATGGTTTTCTACACTATTTTGGATATTAATTCATATTTTTTAACTAAAGGTTTTAGTTTTTCTGGCAACTGTAAATGCTTAAGAAACAATGAAATGCAGTGCCATTAATAATGTGAAACGTTTTGTGTTTTGATAGCTTTTAAAATCCAAGTGTTTTTTTTTTCAGCACAGAGCATCAGAAGTTCATGCCCAAAAGTATATATGAGATGTATTAAACTTTTTTTGTTTTGATGCATATAGTGGTTAAAATGTAAGTGTTTTAAGCAACAGTAAGTGTGCATCTCAATCAACATCCTTGATCACTAGTTAGTGCACTGATTAGGGCATCAGCAGTTTTAGCGCTGTCTCTTTTTGTAGGATATTTTTTATATTAACTTATTTTTTTCAACTAAATGTTTTATTTTTTCACACAACTGCACATGCTTAAACTATGAAATGTATTAGAAATGCATGTGTCTATATATATAACATGCGGTGGGAGTATAATACTATGGGGATGTTTCAATGCATTTGGAACTGGGAATCTTATCAGGGTTGAAGGAAACATGAAAAAGGAAGACTACCAGAAGATTTTGAAAAATAACCTCAAACAGTCTGCAACAAAACTTGGTTTGGGTCGATGTTTTGTATTCCAGCATGATAATGACCCAAAGCATACCTCACTTCTGGTAAAGAACTACCTCCAACAGAACAAAGTGAAAGTCTTTGACTGGCCTGCACAAAGCCCAGACTTGAATCCAATAGAAAATCTCTGGGGGACACTGAAGTCTAGAGTTCATGCCAAAAGACCAATAAATCTGGAAGAGCTTGAGAGATTTGCTAAGGAAGAATGGCCTAACTCTCCTCAGGAGACATGCTTGAAACTTGTTGAGAGCTACAATAAACGACTGATGGCTGTTATCAAGCAAGAGGGTTACACTATTGACTATTAACATCAGAGGGCTAATAATTTTGACCTCCAAGCTTTTTTTATTTTTGATTATAATTGTGTTTCTGTTTGTATTACAAACACTCGAAGCTTCCTGAATAAACTGTTGTTTAAAAATGATGTGTTAAAAAAATCTTTAATCCATTAAACAGCACTTGGGAGTTATTTAAAAAATAATTAAATATTTTATAGGGGGCTAATAATTTTGTCTTCAACTATATATAAATATATATATATATATATATATATATATATATATATATATATATATATATATATATATATATAGTTAAAGTCAGAATTATTAGCCCCCCTTTAAATTTTTAAATCTGGCAACACTGTTAGCAGGTCTGCCTCGCCTTCGGAAAGCGCGCACTCTCATGAACAAATAAGAAGCAGGCTCCTTTCATATGATAAGAAAACTCAGCTATGAATAATAATGAGAAACCAACACGTCATCCCTCCATTAGCAGATTGGCGATACGTCACTGGCTTTGATCCCTCCCCAATAATGAAATTTAATGAAAATTTAATAATAAAAATTTAATTAAAATTTTATATAAATACATTTTTTATTATAATTAAAATTTAAATTTTAAACCCGAAAGATGAAATTTGCAGACAAAAACTCAAAATGATCCAGTTTCCCCCACAATAACAGCTGACAGGAGCTAACGGTGTCTTAGCTGATGCTCAAAACACACACACACACACACACACACACACACACACACACACACACACACACACACACACACACATCTGATAACATCTCAAAAAAGTACTTGAGGGTGTCTCGAGGGTGTCTTAAACCTTTAAAAAAAACAATGTAATATGTTGTCTATAAAGTGAAGTTTTTTGTGTTCTAATGCATATAGTGCTGAAATAATTTTTCTTTTAAAAGGGTGCGTTTCAATCAGCATCCTTGTACACTAGTTAGTGCACTGATCAGGGCATGATTTAGTGCTGTCTATTGTTCTAAATTTTCTGAGAAAATTCGATACGCACTACTATATGCACACACTTAATGTAAAATATGAATCATGTGACCCAAATCATTAAATAATTATAACTAACGAGAGACACATCTTTAATTCTGATATATATTTATAACATGAATGAAGGTAGCTGAGGAAAAAATTTGCAAACATTCATAACAGTTTAATGATTGAAATGTTGCTGTTTTTCGAAAAATCTAAATATTTAGCTATGAATAATAAAAACGCAGTAAAATAAATATAATAAAATCGTTAGTTCTGCTTTTGCTTATAAACTCCTGTTTTCATGATGTACAATGTGAACCAAGCTTATTAGTGCCCTTAGTAGTGCTCAACTACTGATGAATACCCTCGGGAGCTGATTGAGACGCAGAAATAATGTTCAGGATACTTTTCCCCTCTTGAACTCTACTAATGACTGAAGTGACCATCATCTGTGGAGCCGGGCTGCTGTCAGCTGTTCTTTGTCCTTGAACACTTTTGAGGGTGTTTACTGTAGTGCTGGTTGGATATGAGCACACCGCCCTCTAGTGTCAAAATAATACTCGCATCAAAGCATACAGTGCTCAGCAGAAATGAGCACACCTCCTGCTTTAGTGAATCAATATTTGTCCAATGTGTTCTCAGTGAATATAGACAAACTATTTTGGTGCATTTGAACAAAACTGTTTTATTAAACAGATATATTTACAAAAATAAGAGTTTGGTCAATGAATATCTTTAGGAATGGTTATTGCAACACAAAAAAATAACTAGAAAACTTTAACTATATTTATATATATATTTGTTTCTCTTGATTTTTTCTGTTTATTATATTTTTAAATATATATTCCTCCAACATATTAACTACGGTGCATAATTTCTGTACTGTGATCTTCAGTGTTTGTTGGTTCATCAGCTTTGCCACCGACTAATCTAATGTATCTGGACAGATATATATTACTGTACAGCATTCAGGAGAAAATATTACTGTAAAAGAGAGATCAACTCATTTATGCTGGACACACTATTATGATAATAATAATAATAATAAATATATATATATATATATATATATATATATATATATATATATATATATATAAAAAAAAATATATATATATATATACACATACATACACACACACACACACAAAATATTAGTAACCAGTTTTTTTATTTATTTATTTTTTTGGGAGTATGCAGTTGTGTGTCGTTGTATTTTTGCTTTTCACTTATCATACACACATGCTGCTGATGATATGACAATAAAAGTGATTTTATTTGCTAAATAAATTATATAAGATGTAAGCAGAAATGTGTGTGTATAAATACATGTATAATATTTTATATTATAATGTTTAATTATAATTATCCTGATTTGATTGATCATAAGTAAACACACCCATAAACTGCATGCGCAGAATTCTGCATATTTTTAGCCCATCATTTATTCTATTTATAAACTTGAGTAAATGTGTGTAAATTCATATTTATTTAGTTTTTAAATTGCTTTCAGTAATATTATTGACTAATATATAACTATTCATGATTTATTGACAATACAGTGTGTAACGTAATACTTTGTCTTTGTTTAGTGGATATATTATGACACTTGCTTTATTTCGTATTGTAAACAAAGTATTATTTTTATTCATTATATTAAGTTTAATTTAGCTATGATACTTCAAAAATCATTCCACATAAATCTGCAGATTTTTAACAAAATTCTCCACAGAAAATCTAAAAATATGTCTGCAGATGCTTTCAGGCCCTAATCATAAGACAGGGCCAATCTCAATTATACAGCAACATGATCAACACATTTATAATACAATAAATCAAATCAATCATTCTAAATGTGTTTAAATGCTGATAAAGGTGTGAATCCTGTTTTGAAGGATGATGGTGGAAACAATATTTAATGACAAATATTGAGTGATTCACGGACTGACTGTGATGCTTAAATTTAGATTTTTTCTTTTTAAATGACATGATTTCTGTTCTGAATATAGCTGAAAAAATACATCTATATTTTTAGTTTAAATGCTTATGTACCTGTACTATTGTCATTTAGTGTCTGTATTCTGATAATCATGCATGATACAAACAGATTAACTTTTTCAGAGCTCGATGACTCTGCATTTGGCATGAATAATTCTCTAAACTTTAGATATCTGCAATAATTCAGCAGATTTTCTGTCCAACTGGCCTCAAACAGCAGCCAGAAGAACTGGCAGCTTCTCCTTTTCATAATATTAAAGCCAACTTCATTTTCATCTTGACATCCGTCCACATTTAACAGCAGCAGCAGCAGAGCCACCAGAGGGCAAACAACACTGCAGAACAGAACAGAACAGGTGCTGTCTGGCTCTGCAGGCTCATAACCACAGGAAAAATAATGCATTTTTATGCGATAAAAATGTTCCCAGAAAAAACATTTGCATGTGTATTTTTATGGTTTCAGCAAGTTTCACCAAGTCAAAATTATTTTAAACTATTTAAAACAATTTGAAGACGATTATGACAAAAACTTCAGACTTATGTCAAGACAAATGCTAAAGACTTCTGCCATTTGGCACAAATCACTGATATTCCAGGACAAATGAACTTAAATACCTACAATTAAATCAATTTGCTGACTTTTACCTGAAACACACTTTAAAATTGCCTGATGTTGCAGAAATGACATGAACAGCAGGAAAACAGCAGCTCATACTGATGTTCTTAGATGAGAAGAAACAGGCGAGAGAAAGCGGAGATGTGGAAATTGTCTATTTTTAAGGGTCATATTTACATGAAGGCAGTAAAACACAGATTATGAAGAGGAGCTAAACGTATTTACATGTTCTCCTTTGTAAAAGCTCATGAGCATAAAAATGATAAAAGCCACAGACGGGTACAGCACAAGAATAAAAATGGGATTAACACAATGACTACTGGAAGAGAAAAGACATCGCAGGCCGCTGTACAAAACTGGAGAGAGTTCATTTTGAGCTTCCACAGAGCGTCATCAGGCGATTCTGCATTAGAAATAAAAATAATTAATTTATGCTAATAATAGGCAACATCACAGAAGCTATTCATCATTTAAAATGCAAGTTTATGCAACAATTAAAAATGCAAGTGTATTATATCAGTTTATCTGAAAATTTATCTGAATAAAGAATTAAAAAATAATAAGTATTTATTAATATTTACTAATTTAATAAATACTAAATAAACAAAAATGTAAAATACATAAATCTCTTAATTTTAAAAAAAGTTGCACCGAGTGATTTTCTCCAAGTGATCTTGATATTTGAACAGATCAAAACAAACACGCCCCTAACCCAATACTCCGCCCCTTTTTGGTAACCACCACTATCATAACAAGACACGCCCCTTACTGCTGATTGGCTGCATGCTTGTTTTAAGTATCAGCCCAACATCGGTGTCTGTTTCATTTGTCCGACAATAGCACTGCCTATTTATTTGCACCAGATATTTAATACGTACAGTATTTCTGGAAAACCTTTTAATAATCAGGGTACGCAGATAGATGAGCATAATTACAAATTTATAAACTTACCGGCCAATTTATTAGGTACACCTTCATAGATTCAACAAGGGAAATATTCCTCAGAGATTTTGCTCCATATTGTCATGATAGCATCACGCAGCTGCTGCAGATTTGTCGGCTGCACATCCATGATGCCAATCTCCCGTTCCACCACATCCCAAAGCTGCTCTATTGGATTGAGATCTGGTGACTGTGGAGGCCATTTGAGTACAGTGAACTCATCGTCATGTTCAAGAAACCAGTCTGAGATGATTGAGCTTTATGACATGCTGCGTTATCCTGCTGGAAGTAGCCATCAGAAGATGGAGACACTGTGCTCATAAAGGGATGGACATGGTCAGCAGCAATACTCAGGTACCATTACACCACCACCACCAGCCTGAACCGCTGATACAAGGCAGGATGATCCATGCTTTCATGTTGATGAGGCCAAATTCTGAATGTGTCAGCAGAAATGGAGACTCATCAGAGCAGCAACGTTTCTCCAATCTTCTATTGTCCAGTTTTGGTGAGTCTGTGTGAATTGTAGCCTCAGTTTCCTGTTCTTAGCTGACAGGAGCGGCACCCGGTGTGCTCTTCTGCTGCTGTAGCCCATTCGCCTCAAGGTTGGATGTGTTGTGTGTTCAGAGATGCTCTTCTGCAGAGCTCGGTTGTAACGAGTGCTTATTTGAGTTACTGTTGTCTTTCTATCAGCTGGAACCAGTCTGGCCATTCTCCTCTGACCTCTGGCATCATCAACAAGGCATTTGCCCCCACAGAACTGCCGCTCACTGGATATTTCCTCTTTGTCGGAGCATTCTCTGTAAACCCTAGAGATGGTTGTGCGTGAAAATCCCAGTAGATCAGCAGTTTCTGAAATACTCAGAGCAGCCCGTCTGGCAGCAACAACCATGCCACGTTTGACAGGTGTACCCAATAAAGTGGCCAGTGAGTATGTACAATTCAAGATGAATTTGTGCAATATACGGCAATGGACATGCGCAATTTAAATTGTGCAAATATAAAATAATAAATATCCTCTTTTTGTGTTCAACAGAAGAACTACTCAGTCACAGGTCAGGTTCAACTGAACGGTGAATAAATGACAATATTGAATATTTGTAAGGGAACGGTCTCTGAGAATGAAGACAGAAACTCATACCTGCAGGTTTCTGATACTGCGAAGAGCTTTCTCGTCCAGCTGACTCAGATCCACAGAGTCCATCTCACTGGCCAGCAGCTGAATACACTGAAAATAACAAAGAAAACACGTCACACACTCGAACACACAAACACTGAGCTGTGCTTAATGAGCATCAGGATCACCATCTACCTCTCCGTTTCCGATCGGGACACTGATGACGATGTCTTCTCCACCGGCAGACAGAGGAGATCCATTCACTGACATGCTGTAAACCTTCTCTCTGTGAAGAGCTGATCTCAATGCTGGAGTCTTGGGCAATCTGACACACACAAACACACAATGTCAAGACCTATAGCAGTTGTTCTCAAACTTATTTCCATCAAGTACCACCTCAGAAATATAAATAGTCTCTCCAAGTACCACCATAATGAGCAGTATTGAAATACAATAGCGCAGTAGGCCCAGTAAAGCAGCTACACCTCAGTTAAAAAAAAACGGGGCTGATTACCTCAGAAATATAGGCTATTTTTCATATATGGCATATTATATAGATCATTTTTTATACATTTTTAAATGTGTAGCATGTACATTACATATTTAATTTCTCCGCATACCACTAGAAGGAAGCCTGCGCACCAATAGTGGTACACGGATCTTACAACAGTAAACAAGTTCTCGATCACTGATGATTTGCTTAGTTTTGCCACGTCAGTAATTGACGGATATTTCATGCAATAAAACAACATTACATGATGATAACAACACATCCCCTTCTAGTGGCTTCCAATTACAGCAAAAGTTCCTTGATAAGCATGTGCAATATTTACACTGTGTGTGTGCAGATACTGCTCTTCTACACACACAAATAAATGAATAAATAATTGAGCCCAAAAGCATTGTGTTGTGACTGTGTGATACAGCCTACTAGAATTAAGTTCATATGGATGGAGTTACATTTTAGACCAGGGGTCACCAATCTCTGTTCGTGAGGGCCGGTGTCCCTGCAGGGTTTAACTCAGGGGTGGACAAACTTGGTCCTGGAGGGCCGGTGTCCTGCACAGTTAAGCTCCAACTCTAGTCAAACACACCTGCTTATAGATTTCTAGTGATCTTGATTAGACTTAGAGCTAAACTATCCAGGACACTGAGTTTGCCCACCCCTGGTTTAGCTCCAACTTGCCTTAATACACCTCCCTGGGTGTTTCAAGTATATCTAGTAAGAGCTTGATTAGCTTGTTAAGTTGTTTAATTACAGTTGGAGCTAAATCTGCAGGACACCGGCCCTCCAGGACAGAGATTGGTGACTTTCATGCACGCCCTCCCACGCCAATGAGATAATGGATGCAATATTAAACTGCTGGAAGTGTTATTTTAATGAAAGTTCATACCAAATGCTGAATGGGGAAAAAAAAAAACCTATGCATTTCACGATGCAGTTATTTGTGGTCTGCACTGACTGGGTTAGGTGCAAAGAGTGCAAACAGCCGAGTTTGTTTGGACTAACCCGTCGAAAAACACTGCAAAAAGTCCTACATGATGGTAATGTAATGTATTTTTTATTTAGTGCCATGTCAGCAACCAAGGCTATCTTCATGGCAGGAATCTTTCAACAATAAATATACAATTTAAAAATCAACAAACAAATTAAAACATAACTTAAATAAGATTTTTTGTGTTAATACATGATAAAAATTCAAAAATCTTTTCAGGTGTTACTTTGTCAAAAATGTCCTTAAAAGAGTTCATTTCATAAAAAGTCCTTCTGGAATCAGTAAAAGCAGGACAGTCCAGTAAAATATGTTTTACAGTAAGATGAGTTTTGCAATACAAACACTGAGTGGGGTTTTCACCTTGGAGCAAAAAACCATGTGTTATTCTCGTATGCCCAATACGACATCTGGTAAAAACTACTTGATCAAATCAATTCTTAAAATGTCTTAAAATTCTGTGTGAAACTTCAGGTTGGATTTCATGTAATTTATTGTTTTCTAATGCATCCCATTCCTTTTGCCACTTGTTTAAAATGTAAGCGTTGATAAAAGGTTTCATCTCTGACGGAGGAATTTGGCCCTACATGATGGTAATAGTTTGATTAAGGTGTTTACATGTCTGTACTGCACTTCACTAATGCGCCTAAAATCAGCATACTCCACACGTCTTTACTTAATTTCTCTTTAGTTCGATTATGACCTTAATTGATCAAAAAAATTAATAAAAAATAAAATCGCTGTTTACTTGGTCAACTCTTAACCAGAGTATTGTCTTAATCGCATTAAAATCTAATTTTTGACGTCCATGTAAATGTAGTCAGAGGCTTTTCCTTCCTGAATTAATCAGTTTCAGGATTAATCATTTGACTAGCTCTATTTTTAATCAAACAGTTCTCCTTAAAGAGAGATTCACTGAATCGTTCACTAAGAGTTGCATGTCTACTGGTGGTTTCTCTAATACGTTTCTATTACAAGCCGAAAAAAGAAGGCATAAGCACAAAAACATGCGATCAAAGTTCAATATTGTTGAGTTATTGTTATCAAGATAAAATAAGATTACTTGGACTTCCTCAAAAGTGACGAGTGCCTTGGCAACTCACTCCTTGTAGGAACTTTGATTGGTATTAGTGTAGTGCCACGCTGAAATATGACCTTGTAATTCCATTAGTTTTTTTAATATTCTCAATTCTAATCCAACAATTTACTTGTATCAGTGTGCAGTTTTAATCAACAGTGTCATGAAAATGCAGTGTTGTGAATTCACCTGGGGTCAAAGCGCGGCGTGATGAGCGGTGTGGCACCGATGATTGAAGAGTCCAGGAAACTTCTAGCAGGAGTGATCAGAGGCTTCCTTGTAGTCCTGTGGACAAAAGCAGACCTGAACTGACACTTCTGAACACCATCAGGACAGAAACAATGTTAATCCTATTAAACAGGGGAGACTGCAGATTCTCTTCACCTTTGGATGGTGCCGCCCTGTTTGCTGATGGACAGAGCTCTGGGCTTCTTGGACGTTGAAGGAGCTTTCTTTGAGGCCTTCTTCTGCACCACAGAAACAGTAAAACATGTAGTTTCAAATAAAGCTTCCCATGACAAACAACAATCACTGAAACAGGAGTTTAATTTCCAACATAGACCTATCAAAATAGACTTGGCTGAGCAAACCAAAAAAATAAATACTGAAGGATTCGGATTTCTGCTTTCCAGTCCATCTCATCATGGACCAACGTTTATCCTTTTCTCATCATCTTGTTTCTCATAATTTTTTTATTAAATATAATTATAATAATTTGATCATTTGAATGAGTATTTAACTGTGAATTGATTTTAATTAATGAATAAGTTAACACATTGCTTAATATAAGAATGTTCAGTGCATTTGCCAGTCTCTTTATACCTATTTTCAGAAGCCACCAAACTAGGTCAGAGGTCACGGAGACCTTGCGTGGAACTGAGGGCTGGACTCAACTGTTTCTATTGTTATTACTATCTAAATTGTCTAAAGTGATTTTGTTATTTTTACGGTTAATTCTTTTAAAGTGATTCTACTTTTATTCAAGATTGACTTTGTATAGCAAGATTAAAACTGCCTGAATGTAGATTATACCAGTTTAACCAGTTTCGATAAAGACGGCTGAGAGTGCACTCAGCCTTGGATAAGAAACAGATTGTACTTTAAGTGTGTGGGTTCTATTTGATTGTTGATCCGTTTCACAGGTCTGGAGTCAGCTCTAATCAGTCTAAGGGATGTCTGACGTTTATGCTTAAGATAATGTTCAGAATATACGCACGAACCACACGTGAAAATTTCCTAGTCTATCTGTGTTTTAACCAATCAGATTAGAACACCTAAATGTGTGACGCAGTTAATGACGTTATGTGAGGGTATAATTGTTATTGATTGGTGATTGTAAGCGGAGCGGCCTAGGAACTCATAGTGAGTGTTGAAGCTGGCTTCTGCGGATGAAACTGCAAACTATCTTCAGTAAACTTGATTTATTTATTTAAATCTCTGACTCCGGCTCTTCTTCATCTACCAGACTGGTCATTCTTTGGGTCAAACTGTAAACTATCCTTACAATACATTATTATTAATAAAATAATAGAAGACGAACGCAAAATTAGGACACTGTTTTCAAACACAATATGACCTGCACCCTAAAATGTAAAAGGTCAAAGCACAAAAAAAAAGTGTCTCTAAAAGCATGCATAACAAAATGAGTTTGAAACATTGGGAATGCATAAAACAAAACATACTGAAAATGCAATGCAATGGATAAAAGTATTTTCCAAACACAAACGTCTGTGCAAATTTAGATCTTACTGTGTTCAAAATGTCCTAGTTAGATGGTTGAAAGTCTCAGCTCAGATGTGACATCCATTACAATCACTTATTAGGGCTCAAAGACTTTTTTTGTTTGTTTTTACACATACTAACACGTGTTCCTCTTGACAGGCAAATTCAATGATATACATGAGATGGAAACAATAATTTGCTAAACATTTATCCAATAACTCTACATTTGTTGTTTATTAAATTCAAATTTGAGTTAGAAACTAAGCTTGACATTAAGCAGCTCATACACTCCCACAAACCTTCTTCATTGTAGACTTCAGCGGTGCCATGTTTTCATCTTCTGAGTTTGTGCTGCTCTTGGCTTCTGTAAATGAGGTTAAAGAGGAAAACAAATCAGCTGAAAACACCAAGAAAAAGCCTTTATACACAATGACAGAGGATGCAAAAATGTACCTTTTGCAGCAACTTTAGGAATAGTATGATTCCCAGCAATCGCAAGCTCTACCTGGGCAGCTTCCTCCCTCACCTGAACAAACAACAACATTGAAATACAATCTCTTCCAACAGTGAGTGATTGGACACACAAAATATTTAAGTTAAATAAACCATATGACCAAAGTAATCCAAGTACCTTTGAATCATCCACCGGTGACTTTGGCTTCTCTAGATCTAAAAAAGAAATAATAAATTGAGGGAAATAATCAAAATGTTCACGCTACACTACACAGTGCTATTTTGTCTGGTTTTATTTACAGTAAATAAGCAGGACTTTATATCTAACCACATTTTAAGACAAATTGAATTCTATCTTGACAGAAGTGATGAGAATAAATTCTGCATTAAAAAGGATTTTTTTATTATTATTTTTATTTTATTAATTCCAATCCACTTTTCCACCCAGATTATTAAAGATATTATAAGGAAGGACCACCTTCAGCTGTCAAAATACATCTAGCAAAGGTATACTATATAATTTCATTACTCAACTTCTGTAAAACTTATCTTCCTTTTGTGCATATTTACGATACATATGAGCCTGGTTTTCTTCATAGATGTAAATATAATCATACAATCTATAGCAGAAATAAAGACTGATTACACAGTTCATTTAAATGTACAGTCATGCAATTAATACATTTTGTTTGTAAAATTTGTGCTAAAAAAACAACTGCAATGTGTGTTTTTCTGGTCTCAGTTTGTATATTTTGTTTGCACAATATCTTTAAACATTTCTAATATCGAAAGACATTGCATCACATGACTTGTGCAATTTCATTCAGTTATTTTCTTTTCGGCTCAGTTTCTTTATCAATCTGGGGTCGCCACAGCGGAATGAACCACCAACTTGTGCAATTTAATATGTAAAATAGTTTCTCACTTTTAGCTAATATAAAAGAGGTTAAATCCGATGAGAACATTCAAATTATTATTAGTTTCTTATTATGAGAGGCTGCTGGCAAGATGACATACGATTTTATGAAAAATGCTGAATTATGACAGTTTTACAAACACAATACAAGAGCTAGTATTGACATATACAACAATAATGATGACTGAAAACCCAGTCTTATTTTATACAGATAATGAATCTCCTAATAACTTTTGTTTGTATAATATGGGCTATATAGCAACAAAAAAAAACTAAATTTTTTCTTCAGTCTCAGTTTGCATGTTTCTATAAACTGTACACAATATCTTTAAACATTTCTAATATCATAAGACATTGGATCACATCACTTGTGCAACGTAATATATAAAAGAATCTCCCCTTTTATCTAATATAAAGGGGTTAAATCCAATAAGAGCATTTAAATATTATTTTCACATTATAAGAAGTTGCTGACATGAGGATTTTATGAAAAATACTGAATTATGACAGTATTAGAGCCTAAGAAAGTGCCAGTATTGACATATACAACAATGAAGATGATGATGACCCATGATCTTATTTTAAACAGACAGATGAAGAATCTTCTTACTGCAGTACTCGATCCAGTTCATCTTCCTCACCGCCATGGGCAGTTTAATGAGAGCAGTTTTATAAAGATTATCTGCATCTTTCAGCAGATTATTAGTCTTCTCCTTCAGTCTTTCCACAATGGTGTGAACTGCAAACAACCAGCAGAACCACAAACACAACACAAACAGGTAAAGACAACACAAATGATATGCTTTCATGCTATAAAGAGTTATAATTAAGGTGAAGTTGATTTTATATTTGCACATTCTGACTTTCTCCTTAATATAACTTCAGTATTCTTTGCGAATACTCAACAGTGAAATCATGTTAGCAGTCAATGAATATATCAAAGTTCAGCATTGTTCTAATGTTGTTAGTCATACTTAGATGCTATTTCAGACCGATTATAAAGAACATTATAGGCACGGTGTCACGGTTTAAATAATGAACGAATGTGCAAATGCAAAACTAACTTCATCTCAATAGATTTACACGTTAAAGCTTTATAAAGACAAACTCAAGTGACCTTCATCATCAAAATCCAGCAGAAAAGCCTCAAGTTTGGGCGCTTTGGGATTCTTCTTGCTTTTAGCATTCTGAGTGCGCTTTCTGGGAGCCATAATCAACCTGGAAAACAAACACGACACGGTTTATTGACAAAATCTGACACAAATGTCTGAGATTTAAAGAGATTTTAGCATTAATTTAGACACTGTTAGCTTTCATTGTAGCAAACAACAAGCTAATTTTGAGCTTTTACTTTCCTATTTCATCTTACTTTCGTCATATGTCATTACCATTAGCACATTCTAGTACCAGATAATAATATAAATAAATTCAATTTACTAATATAATACAAAATTAACTTACTTTACTCACTCTTTCCACGTCTGAACCGTGTCTCTCAGTCAGCGGTTAGAAGGAAAACCCTTTTCAAATTGAACCCTTCGCATCAGCGAACCAATCAGCATGCAGCATCCGTGAACATGCGCCATGCTCTGACCAATGAAACATCGTCTCTCTTCAAATAAAGAATCTGACCAATGGTTGAGTGCTTTACTGTTCCAGCCAAAGAAACAAGCACGCGGATTGGAGTATGATCATAATGTTTACATTTACCCGGAAGAAAAGTCGATCGCTGTGGTCACACGTGCTTTTACTCTATAATGAAAACAGGATTGTATTCACTCTCGCTAAACTTAACAATGATTGATCAGTGTAATAAAGAGATCGCAGAGTGTGATTAATGTAATCGCTGTGTTTCGGTCAGTAATGCCCGGATCAGCGTTGTTATCGCTGCAGCAGGAGCTCCGGCGGGGATTCGAGGCTCTAAAGGCCGCCAAAGATGCGTTTGATGGCGGTCATGCGGAGTGTCAGGAGCTCGTCTCCTCTCTGGGGAACCTGGCGCTCCAGCTGAAGGCTCTCAAACAGGTCCAGATATCCAAAACTCCTCTCTCCGGATTCCCATGTTTACAGCAGCGACTCCATTACAAGCTCTCGCTGGCGGTGGACGCACTTCTGGCTAAACTAGCCGAGAAAATGTGAGTTTTATATGAAAGTCATTACTGTTATACTTAATATACTCCAATGGACATGTATTATACAGATGTACAGCATAGGAGCTAACGTTATTATGCAAAAAACACCTTATAAGGGGTTTAATCACAGTTGTGTGGCAACAGTCTGTGAATATATTCAGCATCTAATAGTAAAAATGTATTAATTGTGTTTGTTCTAATCAGATTTGATCTAAACAGTCTGCAAAATCACTTTGATTGACGTTCTCCTTTCGTAAGCGTCATCAGAGAGTTAAAGCTCCGCCCACTGGTGCCCATTTTTCCCTCATTAGCATAAACAGCAGCCCTGAGTGAGAAGCAGCCGTCTGTCTATTAGCCATTAGAGTGTTTGAAGATAATGTCAGACTTAGAGGATTTTAGATGTAGAGTTTTAGATGAACACAAATGAACAGCGACAGGAGTCTTCCTAGACTGACAGAAACATAAAGCACATTTTCAGACAGATAACATTAGTCCTGGTGTGAATTTGTAGCTCCGCCCTCATCTAAAATCAGCACAATCTCATTTGAAGTGTTGTGCATCTGATGCATGAGCGGTAATGCACACATGATCAGTGCATGATCTGACAGTGTGTTGTTGTGCAGGGCTGCTCTTCAGAAGGTGCGGGATGCCTTCGCTCAGCAGGTGTTTACTGTCGTGCAGCTCTATGAGAAAAACACAGACGCTCTGGACATCAGCGTGTGCGTCTCCAGATCAGCCGTCTGTCCTTCTGTCTCAGACATGCTGGAGTGGCTTCAGGACGCCGACCGATATTACCGCCTGCAGTATCCTTCACTTCTCCTTCTGCCAAGTGCTGGATAAATAAAGATATTGTGCGTCAAATGAAGGATTGCATTAAAAAGGCATTATATTTTGAAATCTTTGGTCTTACTTTATATAAGATGGCCTTAACTATGATATACTTGCATCAAAAAAATAAATATAGTGTATTTAGTGTGATGGTAAACTATCGCAGGACACTTGTGGTGGTCTTGAGGTGGGATACAGGTTTGGTTAAGGACAGATTGGGTGGTATTGGTGGGTTTAATGTTGGGTTAAGGTGTAAATTATGGTTAACAGTGTATTTTAAATGTAATTACATGCAGGTATTTAATCATAATGTCAAAAAAAAACAACATTCAGTTTAAGTACATATTAGTTAAGGCCACCTAATAGAAGTTTAACCTGCTACTGATCTACAATAACACATTCAAAACAAGTAATTTGCATAATCCCCGCCTCTTTTTTTTATTAATCATCTGTTTTGTGACAATCCTATATTTTGTATTGGAGGCTCATCTCTGTTCTTGTGTGTGTATTTCTGAACTGATGTGTCAGATTAATGCAAAGCCGGCTCCTCCTTCAGACGCTGACCCCCACTGACCTTACATCAATGGAAACAGCACCAAATAGATGGAGATCTCTGCGTTCTGCCCGTCAGGAGGAGAGAATTGCAGGTATATCCCTGTATTACAGCAGCAGATATGGTTACACACTGGCCCCGCGTTCAGCTGGTGTTGAGTTAACGTCTGTGATGGGGATCAAGTTACAAGCATAGGACATTCTGTAATGCCGTCCGTCCCTCTCTCCACAAATGCTCATTTACCCCTTTAACGTTTTGACCACAGACATGAAAAGAACTTAAATGATCGTCAGTGTTCAATGCTTGTAGATTTAAGCTTGGTTTAATTTTTAATCGTCAATTCCAAGTTAAGTCAGAATTCAGTTATAGTCAGAATTCTGAGTTATAAAGTCAGAATTGCGTCATAAAGTTAGAATTGCGAGTTATCAAGTCAGAATTGCGTCATAAAGTTAGAATTGCGAGTTATAAAGTCAGAATTCCGAGTTAAGTCAGAATTTAGTTTTAAAGTAAGAATTATGAGTTAAGTCAGAATTTAGTTTTAAAGTCAGAATTTAGTTATAAAGTCAGAATTCCGAGTTACTAAGTCAGAATTTAGTTTTAAAGTCAGAATTGCGAGTTATAAAGTCAGAATTGCGAGTTATAAAGTCAGAATTGCGTTATAAAGTCAGAATTTCGAGTTATTAAGTCAGAATTCCAAGTTAAGTCAGAATTCAGTTATAGTCAGAATTCTGAGTTATCAAGTCAGAATTGCGTCATAAAGTTAGAATTGCGAGTTATAAAGTCAGAATTCCGAGTTAAGTCAGAATTTAGTTTTAAAGTCAGAATTTAGTTATAAAGTCAGAATTCCGAGTTAAGTCAGAATTTAGTTTTAAAGTCAGAATTTCGAGTTATTAAGTCAGAATTTAGTTTTAAAGTCAGAATTCCGAGTTATTAAGTCAGAATTTAGTTTTAAAGTCAGAATTGCGAGTTATAAAGTCAGAATTGCGAGTTATAAAGTCAGAATTGCGTTATAAAGTCAGAATTTCGAGTTATTAAGTCAGAATTCCAAGTTAAGTCAGAATTCAGTTATAGTCAGAATTCTGAGTTATCAAGTCAGAATTGCGTCATAAAGTTAGAATTGGGAGTTATAAAGTCAGAATTCCGAGTTAAGTCAGAATTTAGTTTTAAAGTCAGAATTTAGTTATAAAGTCAGAATTCCGAGTTATTAAGTCAGAATTTAGTTTTAAAGTCAGAATTTCGAGTTATTAAGTCAGAATTTAGTTTTAAAGTCAGAATTCCGAGTTATTAAGTCAGAACTTAGTTTTAAAGTCAGAATTCCGAGTTATTAAGTCAGAATTTAGTTTTAAAGTCAGAATTTCGAGTTAAGTCAGAATTTAGTTTTAAAGTCAGAATTCCGAGTTATTAAGTCAGAATTTAGTTTTAAAGTCAGAATTTCGAGTTAAGTCAGAATTTAGTTTTAAAGTCAGAATTCCGAGTTAGTAAGTCAGAATTTAGTTATAAAGTCAGAATTTAGTTATAGTCAGAATTCGAGTTATTAAGTCATAATTCCGAGTTATAAAGTCAGAATTCAGTTATAGTCAGAATTCAGAGTTAAGTCAGAATTTAGTTATAAAGTCAGAATTACAAGTTATTAAGTCAGAATTTCGTTATAAAGTCAGAATTTCATTATAAAGTCAGAATTGCGAGTTAAGTCAGAATTCCAAGTTAAGTCAGAATTGCGAGTTATAAAGTTAATAAAAACAAAAGTTATTTGCCTTTGTTTATGAAAATAGGAAAACAATAAATGTGTATTACACAAATATGTACTTTACATATCTTGTTTTATCTTAATAGTGGCAGAAAAAAAAATCAAAGGTACATCTCTGAACAGATTCTATACTACATTTGAAGTTGGTTATCTTAAAAACTGAGCTTTCAGAAAGATTAGGTTTGGCCGCAGTACCAGACATGACCACCAGGTGAGATACAGTTTCCATCGGTGACCGTATTTAATCGGGGGTTTTTTTCTTACAAATATTAGTTATAAATTGTTAAGGTATTATGAGAATTTGCTTGTATTTGTTTTGAATTTAGCCTTTGAAAGCATCTTAAACATGTTTACATGTGGATTGCTGTAGCAAAGTAATGCTTAACGAATCTGATGAATATCCTTGTCACAAATTAATAACTAATTGTTGTTCTGTAATGGTATGTTTCTGTGTTTTAGATGCATTGTGTCAAGTGTCGATCTTCTTGGAGACTGAATGAATGAAGGATCCTTAAAAAGAGACAGACTGAACTCTGTCTCCTGGATTAATGTAGTTTTATGGTGCGATTTAGCATTATAAGGACTGTGCATCAGCATCATTGTAAGAGCAATGCTCTACTGTAATAAATGCAATTCATGCTTTTTATATTTATAAAGACTCCACTGTTGTTGCTCAATGTGCAAGCACACATCTTTTACATTTATTCTTCCCATAAATGGTTCAAATACACACATTTCCAATAAATAAATAAATACAGATTAATCACAATGAACACGGCAATCAGATATATACTGAGTGTAAGTGTACTGTGTCTAAGGCAAGGGTGTCCAAACTCAGTCGTGGAGGGCCGGTGTCCTGCAACTTCATTCAACACACCTGCCTGGAGGTTTCTAGTACACCCAGTAAGAGCTTAATCAGCTGGTTCAGGTGTGTTTAATTGGGGTTGGAACTAAAATTTGCAGGACACCGGCCCTCCACGACCAAGTTTGGACACCCCTGGTCTAAGGACAACAGCGCGGCTACAAAAAAATACCATTTACAAAACAAAACACTGCAAAACGGGAACTAGTGGTCAAAGTTAATACTATTAGAATAAAAAACTAAATCAAACATGGTGAAACTAACCAGTATTCATAAATATTAAAGTACCTTGCATAAGAATGTACAGTAATACAGAGGAAAACATGACAATGAAGGAAAGAAATGTTTCAGTAAATCTTGGACTCTTTCCATTCAAGCACTGTTAGCCTAGCTGCTAAACTGGCTTTAAAAGTGCACTTCTTTTTCTTACGTTAAATAAATAACATTGCTAATAATTAACAAATACTTTCTAATGAAACTAGTGATGCAGAAAATATACTCAGTATAAATGTACACAATGAAAAGCAAACCAAACTACATAAGAATAAATGCAATATACATATTAAAGACAACAAGACAGAACAGCAGCACAGACATGGGTCAAAGAGGAAATCATGCATCAAAACAAAGTAAAAGTACAATAAATAAAATAAAAGCCCTCCTTTGTTAAACAGCATGTGGGAAATTGCTGAAAAATAGTCATTTTTCCAAGATGTATTCAGTTTAAAGTGCATTTTAAAGCTGTATTTGGGTTAAAAAGGCAAGTCATTGGACAACAGTGGTTGTGTAGACAATTGAAAAAATGCTATTATTTTATTATTATTCCAGCTAAACTCTTTCCAGAGAAAAATAACAGGAAATACTGTACAAAATGTGCTTGCTTTGGGAAAAATTGGAAAATATGCTAATAATTTTGTCGTCAACTGTATGTGTATACACAGTATAGTCAGTTTTGATGCTGACAACAAAATAAAACCTCTCGTCTTTGACCCACATGAATGCGATCTACCAATCCAAACACAAGCAGCACGAATACAAACAATAAAACCAAACAGATTAGGACTTCAAATAGCAAATATGGGCATGATCTCAACACTGACCACACCACACAGTGCCTCAGTCCACTGACACACAAAACTACCATGTGCACCTTTAAAAGTCCCGTGAAGTGCTTTGAAATGTGTGGGGTTTTTTTTTATTTGATGTTTGAGGTCATCTGAAACTGATATTAGAATTGAGGGTGGGGCATCATATTAGCCCCTCCCCTTTTTTTGGAAAAACAGCCAATAGTGTTTTGTTTTTATCACAGCTCTGCCAGTGAGAGTGATTGAGCTGAAGCTTAAAGCAAATGAGAAGGGGCGGAGCATGTCACATACTAGAGAGCATTTGATTGGTCAGAAGATATGATGAGAAACTGAAGTATGACGTGAAATAAAAAAAGGTCTTCTAATCCACTGTTTCTCAACCATGTTCCTGGAGAAGCACCAACTCTGCACATTTTCCAGGTCTCAACCAAACACACCTGATTAAGATCGACAGCTCATTAGCAGAGATTGAGAAGACCTGTATGGGAGTGACAGACAAAGGAGACATCCAAAACAAGCCAGTCCTCCAGAAACGTGGTTGAGAAACACTGCTCCAAATGCAAATATTTGATACGCACTAGTTTATAGGCATCCTTGAAACTTAACATACTGATTCGAACATCTACAAAAACTTCACGGGACCTTTAAATTTGATCTCAAGTTGGTTTTTAATCATACATACTCCTTAAGAGGCAAGGTGCTGTTGGTAATCGGCTTGGGAGGATCAGGAGCAGAAGGCCTGGAGTTAGCAAAACTGCGGCCTATGTACCCGCGCCTGTACCCGCCGCGCTCTATATGTGGGCAGGTGCTGCTTAAAACGGCACCACTGATCATGAGGATCACCGCCGCCGCCCAGCCCAGGTAAATAGCCTGTCCGAGCTCCCGTTTATGCTGGAGCGGGACATTGGGGTTGTAGAAGTCCTGCACCACAGTGTTTGCTGTCCAGGAAACTGGCACCAGGACGCAAAGTCCCGTCAGGATGAAAAGCACCCCGCCGGATAACGCTATGCCAGCCTTAGCATGGCGATCATCCCCGGCACAGGTGGTGCACTTCATTCCACAGCAAGAAACTGTGCAGGACAACCAGCCCAAGAAAATTGCAATGCACATCAGCGCCCGTGCAGCTTGTATATCAGGCGGTAGAGCCAACATGGAGTCGTAGGTTTTACATTGCATGTGCCCGGTGGTCTGGTAGATGCAGTTCATCCAGATCCCCTGCCAGACGATCTCCGAGGTTAGGATATTGCTGCCGATGAAAGCAGTGACCTTCCATTGGGGTAACGCGGTCACCGCTATAGCCATAATCCAGCCAGTTACAGCACAGGTGAAGCTGATCAACTGCATGCCCGTGTTTACCATCTCGCCTCCCTCTGAGTACCACGCCTCCTCGGGCCACAACCTCGAAGACACCTTTACGTTTGCAAAAGGTCCAGTCGGGGATAATCGGATCAGATGGTTTTGCCCACAGAGATCGGAGGGCCAATGCTCTGCAGGACGTCACTTGAAGGATCCTTGGTGTTGAATTTGTTTTCTGGTCGACACCTTTGTCAATTCTCAGAGTTTAGTTGGGTTATGCAAGTGGTTCAGTTGTGGATTATTGAATCAGATGGTTTTGCCCACAGAGATCGGAGGGCCAATGCTCGAACGTCACTCGAAAGATTCTTGATTTCTTGAATTTGTTTGTTGTCAGCACGTTAGCCAATCCTCCAGGAAAAGTTTCTTGAAAATTCCTTGCAAGACCAAGGTGTTCAATTTAAAATGCCTTTGAGGAGAGCTTTGTCAAGGTTTAATCTTCTGGTCGGCACATTTGCCAATTCTCATGAACAGATCTTGGTCTGTACTTGAAGATAACTTTTGTTTGCTTTAAATTGTATTGTCTGTCCTTCGTTCTTGGCACGTTAGCCAATTCTCAGAAGGAAGTTTATTGAAAGTTACTTGCAAGACCTTGAATTTCGAATGTAGGAGAGTTTTTAGTCGTGTTTTTCTAGTTAACGCCCTTGCCAATTCTCAGGAAGAGTTCTTGGTCAGTCCTTGAAAATGCCTCTTGATCAGTTAAATTTTCTGTTCTTTGGTCTCGGCATGTTAGCCAATTCTCTGCAAGACGTTTCTTCAAAGTTTCTTACAAGATCTTGAATTTCAAATGTCTTGGAGGAGAGTTTTGTTTAGTTCTTCTGTTAGACACATATGCCAATCCTCCACAAGAAGGTTCAGTCACTCAAAGATTCCTTGCAAGATTTTGATGAATTTAAAATTTTAGGGAAAGTTGTTAGTCGTATTTTTATGATTGACACGTTTGCCAATTATTAGAAAGTGTTCTTGTTTGTCCTTTGGTGTCAGCACATTAGCCAATCCTCCACATGAAGTTTCTTAAAAATTCCCTGCAAGACCTTGGTGTTCAATTTAAAATGTCTTTGAGGGCCTCTTTGTCCAGGTATAATCGTTTTGGTTGGTCAGGAAGAGTACTTGGTCAGTCCTTGAAAATCCCTCTTGATTGCTTTAAATGTTCTTGTCTGTCCTTCGGTCACGTTAGCCAGTTCTCTGCAAGAAGTTAATTGTGTAGAAGAAGAGTTCTTGGTCAGTCTTTATGAGTTACTCTTGATTAGTTTAAAAGTTCTTGTATTTTGTCTTGGCACGTTCACAAACCCTCCGCATGAAGTCGCTTGAAAGTTCCTTGTCAGACCTTGGTGTTGGATTTCAAATGTCTTGAAGGAGTGTTTTGTTTAGTTGTATTGTTCTTGTCGACACATTTGCCAGTCCTCTGTAGGTAGTCTTGGTCAGCCCTTCTTAAAAGATGCTCACAAGACCTTGCGTTGGTCTGTGAATAATCCCAGTGCAAAGTTTTGCTCAAGTCTGTCTTGTTTTCTTGTCACAATTTCAGCAAGGTCAGTCCGTAAAATTGACTTTTATTACGATTTTCTAATGTCCCGCAGCCTTGATAAAAAGTCTTATTCACTTCTCCTCAAAAATTCCTCCGAGTTTCTTTTAGTTTTCAATTCTGTCCTTCGTTCTTGTTGCGTTTGCCAATCCTCAGACATAGGTCTCAGTCGGTCCCTTTAGAAAGTTCCTCTCGGTTTTGTCTTTCAAATTTCTTGGAACAAAGTCCTGTTCACCCTCATTCTAGCCCGTCTTTTGGTCTTTCAGACAGTTGTGCTCACTTTCTCCTGGTCTTTGTTTGAGGAGATGAATAATTGAAGATCTCTGAGCACTGCTGCCAGTTCTCTCAACTCACCCTGCATGGGGATTGACTGAACTTCAATGCAAAACTCCACCAACACCACATCCGAAGTTAGTCTGGCAGTGCTGTAAAGTGTGATGGACTTGTTGTATTGACGGTAAAGAAAGATCTATCCTTATCACCGGTTGCAACCCAGTCTGGTGTTGTCTTACTCAAACAGGTCATTGAATCTGACACCGTGACGTGAATTTGGCAGCCGTCAATGATGCATTACTTCCAACGTCAAACAACAACCCACACTAGAGTCTGGCGAGGCTTCATGCATTGGAATAAAAAAAGAAAAGTCATCAGACCCTGGTGAAGCCAAAAGAAGTGAAGATGCAGTCCTTTTTCAATCATCGAGAGGAAATAAAATGAATGCTGTGCTGCAGACCACTTGCATAAAGACAAAAGCAATGCAACAAAACCTTCACAGATTGGTTGGCTTTTATCAGATTGGTGATCCCCTATTGGGCGTCCTGATAACCCTTACAGGTGTTCAGCCTGATCCAGCTTCTCATCCTGAAAGGAAAACAGCGGATGGTTGGATATAAAGGGAGACGGAGAGAGAGAGGGGAGGAGGGAGGGCTGGAGAGGATCAATTAACACAAAGGCCATCAGAAATACAGCTGCTTTTGAAGGGCCGCTGCTGAAGAGTGCTCGCCCCGTTGTGTTTAAGACAAAGAAAGGATGCTGTGGGCATGTCTAAGGATGAATCATGCCAAAATGCACACTCTTTTGCAACAATATGCCAATTCACAACCAATTTTGGTGAAGAATTTAGCACTTGCAATCAAAAAACAAACAAATAAATAGAGCATAAATGATTTTTAGGCAGAATAATGCAAAAATAAATGCAATATGATGCCAATCCAGTCCATTTTTGGTGGAGAATTGAGTAATTTCTCACTCTCAAAAAATTGTAAATAAACAATAAAACAGTACAATAGCATTTTAGGCAGAATAACGTCAACAATTTTGCAACAAAATGCCAATTTTACATCCATTTTTGGTGAATTTAGCACTTTTGGTCTAAAAACTAAGAGAAAAAAAAACAGTGTATTACAGATTGTTGGGCAGAATGATGCAATAATACGCACACTTCAGCAACATAATGCCAATCCAGTCCATTTTGGTGGCAAATTCAGAACCTTCTCTTTGTCTCAAATAATAAATTAACAGTATAATAACATTTTAGACTGAATAAATGTCAAAATACACACACTTCTGCAACAATATGTCAATTCCCATGCATCTTTGGTGGAGATTTGATCACTTTTTCTCGAAGAAAGAAACAAAAACACAGTATAACAGCAATTAAGGTAGAATAATGGCAAAATACACACACTTTTGCAATAATCTCAAATTCCCATGCATCTTTGGTGAAGATTTGACCACTTTAAAAAAAATAAAATAAAAAAGGGGGTTTACCAGCAATTTAGGTGGAATAATGGCAAAATACACACACTTCTACAACACTATTCTAATTCCCATGCACTTTTGGTGGAGATTTGATCACTTTTTCTAAAAAAAAAACAAAAAAAAAACAAACAAACAACAGGGTATAACAGTATAATGGCAACATACACACATTTCTGCAACAATATGCCAATTTCCATCATTTTCGATCAAGAATTCAGCACTTTGTATAAAAAAAACAACAACAAAAACAGTATAATGCACATTTATACAACAATATGCCAACTCCCATTCATTTTTGTAGGAGAATTGAATACGTTCTCTCTCTCAAAAAATAAATTATAAACAGTACAATATCATTTTAGACTGAATAATGTCAAAATACACACACTTCTGCAACAATCTGTCAATTCCCATGCATCTTTGGTGAAGATTTGATCACTTTTTCTCAAAAAAAAAAAACCAAACAAACAACAGGTTATAACAGCTATTTAGGTGGAATAATGGCAAAATATGGGCACTTCTACAACACTTTTCTAATTGCCTTGCACTTTTGGGGGAAATTTGAACACTTTTTCTCGAAACAAACAAAAGACAGAATATAACAGCATTTTCAACACAATATTTCCAAAATAGGCATATTTTTGGAGGAGAATTGAATACGTTCTCTCTCTCAAAAAATAAATTATAAACAGTACAATAGTATTTTAGACTGAATAATGTCAAAATAAACACACTTTTACAACAATATGTCAATTCCCATGCATCTTTGGTGGAGATTTGATCACTTTTTCTCGAAAAAACAAACAAAAAAAAAACACAGTATAACAGCATTTTTTGGCACAATTATTTAAAAATGTGCACATTTATGCAATAATATGCCAATTCCCTTTCATTTTTGATCAAGAATTCAATGTTTTGTATAAAAAAACAAAAACAAAAATAGAGTATAATAGCATTTCAGGCATAATAATACCAAAATACGCACATTTATAGAACAATATGCCAATTCCCATTCATTTTTAACTTCCAAATTTAGCCCTCTCTCTCAAAAACAAAATAAACAAACAGAAAAGGAGGATTGCATGTTTTTAGGGCGAGGTGTGAACTTACATGGCTGTGGAGTTGTAGAGATATTTTACAAAGGTCTGATTACAGCAATATACGGTTACTTTGCAAAGTGTTTAATGATAAATTGAGTGTGTTTTGTTTGCGTGTGTTTATTTAGGAGTGGTGGAGGAGGGAATGGCAGTTTAGGAATTCACAATATGCATAATAGCTGAAGGAACTGCGAGTAATCGTCAGGTTTTTGTGTCTTTCCCTTTTGTTTGGGCCCGCTCTGTAACCTGCAGACGTCGGTGTCTGTGCTGATGAATTAAATATTATGGGATACAAGATCTCTGGTTTAAGTTTCCTTTCTCTCGCGGCTGCCTCTCCTTGGCAACTGTGGCCATGGTAACAGCAGACACAGGAAATGAGAGAGGGAAACAAAGGAAAGAGTGACGGCTCACAGAGCAGCTCAATCATAGAGGAAACCTGAGAGCAGAAATATCAACAGTTGATCTGTACGTTTCAGTGTTTCTTAAAGGACTGTGAAAACAAATATATTAATCCATAAATAAATAAATAAATGTTACTTTCTTCAGTGGAATAGAAACGGATTTAGGCCGATAACATAAGACCAAAGTTATCAATAATAGCAGAATACACACATTTATGCAATAATACGCCAATTCCCATTCATTTTTGGTGGGGAATTCACCACTTTGTATTAAAAAAACTTAACAAAAACATAATAAACAGCATTTTAGGCAGAATAACTGCAGAATACACACATTTGTACAACAATATGCCAATTCCCATCCATTTTTGATTGAGAATTCAGCACTTTGTATAAAAAAAAACCCTACAAAAACATAGTATAATAGCATTTTAGACAGAATAATAGCAGAATATACACATTTTTGCATTAATACGCCAATTCCCATTCATTTTTGGTGGAGAATTTAGCACTCTGTATCAAAAAACCCCAACAAAAACATAATAAAACAGCATTTTAGGCAGAATAATTCCAAAATACGCATATTTATGCAACAATATGCCAATTCCCATTCATTTTTGGTGGAGAATTTAGTACTTTTTTTAACGAAACAATAACAAAAACAGGGTATAATAACATTTGAGGCAGAATAATGCAAAAAATACACACACTTCTGCAACAAAATTACAATTTCCATCCATTTTTGATGGAGAATTCAGTTCTTTCTCTCTCAAATTAAATAAATAAATAAATAAATAACAGAGTATATAATAGCATCCCATTTGTCATTAGGAATTGTTATTATAAATTAGATGATTAGATATTCTTGTACATAAACACAGCTTAGAATATGCATTGCGTTTGCATATGGAGTCACAAACATAATCAACCGTATTTCAACATTTTTTTTTCTTTGCAAAAGTTATTTAAAACAAAGTAGAAACTTAACTTAAATTAAATGACATTTTTGCATTCACTTTTGTAAATGAAATGGGGCACAATCATCAAATTATAAACAAATAACACTGAAAGAGGGAAGAAGAAAAAAAAAAAGAGCCTAAATTCAGAGCTTTCTCTGTGGAGTTTACTGCAGGGGTGGGCGAACGTGGTCCTGGAGGGCCGGTGTCCTGCAGATTTTAGCTCCAACTTGCCTCAACACACCTGCATGGATGTTTCTAGAAAACCTATTAAGAGCTTGATTAGCTAGCCCAGGTGTGTCTGATTGAGGTTGGAACTAAACTCTGCTGGACACCGGCCCTCCAGGACTGAGTGTGGACACCCCTGATTTAAAGCAATCAGAGAGCAAAGCTTAAAGCAGGGGAGCCCGATGCTCAGTCCTGGAGATTTCAGCTCCATTCCTAATCAAACACACCTGAATCAGTTAATCAAGCTCTGACTAGATATACAACAAACTTCCAGCTAGGTGTTGAAGCTAAACTCAGCAGGACAGCGGCCCTCAAGGGCCAAGTTTGGACTCCCCTGGCTTAAGTGTAATCTTTACAGCCACAAAGTAAAGCTATCACAGTGCCATCTAGTGGCTTTTTCTGAAAATAAAAAAAAATCATCCTTATTATTCAAACTATACCAAGTTAGACTAACAAAAAAAAAGATTATACACTCACCGGCCACTTTATTAGGTACACTTTACTAGTACCCGGTTGGACCCCCCCTTTGTCTTCAGAACTGCCTTAATCCTCGTGCCATAGATTCAACAAGCTACTGGAAATATTTCTACTAATGAACCCAAAGTGTGCCAAGAAAATATCCATCCCCACACACCATTACACCACCACCACCAGCCTGAACCGCTGATACAAGGCAGGATGATCCATGCTTTCATGTTGTTGAGGGCAAATTGTGAGCCGAGCATCCGAATGTGTCAGCAGAAATGGAGACTCATCAGAGCAGCAACGTTTCTCCAATCTTCTATTGTCCAGTTTTGGTGAGTCTGTGTGAATTGTAGCCTCAGTTTCCTGTTCTTAGCTGACAGGAGCGGCACCCGGTGTGCTCTTCTGCTGCTGTAGCCCATCCGCCTCAAGGTTGGACGTGTTGTGTGTTCAGAGATGCTCTTCTGCAGAGCTCGGTTGTAACGAGTGCTTATTTGAGTTACTGTTGCCTTTCTATCAGCTGGAACCAGTCTGGCCATTCTCCTCTGACCTCAACAAGGCATTTGCACCCACTGAATATTTCCTCTTTGTCGGAGCATTCTCTGTAAACCCTAGAGATGGTTGTGCGTGAAACCATCAACCATGCCACGTTCAAAGTCTCTTAAATCCCCTTTCTTCCACATTCTGATGCTCGCTTTGAACTGCAGCAGATCGTCTTGACCATGTCTACATGCCGAAATGCATTGAGCTTCTGTCATGTGATTGGCTGATTACAAATTCGCTTTAACCAGCAGTTGGACAAGCGTACCTAATAAAGTGGCCGGTTAGTGTATGAACATACTATGGGTCGTTTTGTCAGCTTGATTGGCTGATAAGCATTTTCAGGTGCATGCCAAAGTAGTTCCGGCAGGTTTTGAGTGCATTACAGCTCCATATCACTCCGCTGAGTGATGAGTTATTTTACAGCAATCAAAAATCACATCAAAATGTGCTAGAAACTAGTGCCACACTGTAAAAATATCAGTAAATTAAGAGTTTTTTCCTTTAGGTCTGCTTTTTAATTGCAGTATGGGATCTAAATCTTGCTTCCAACAACTATTAACCTTGAAAAGTGTGTAAAAAGTGACTTTTCTGCACATGTGTAATAGTCTGCAGTGCTGTATTGTGTGTTTTGGTGTTTTATTTTACTCTACAAAACCTTGTAACAAACTCCAGCACATTTTCTGGTATTTTACACACTATATTTCTTATATATTATATTTTCAATCTACTAAAAATGTCACTGAAAGCCACTTTAAACACCAGAAATCAATAAAACAAAGATCCCATAATGCAAATGAACAGAAAATACCGAAACGGTTCACTAACAGATATTATGCACAGCGCACACACTGAAGCAGTCGGAGAACAATAACCTGACACTGTCTGAAATACAAGTTGCTGTGCAAACCCACTGTATCAGCCGAATAACGCTGCTGAATTAATATAGAAAGCAAAGCACAACCGGACGGCACTTCAATTAATCCTCACGTCAATAATGACAGGACACAAGGATGTGTGTTATAGGCATAAAATACCAATTTATTACTTTGCACAATAACACAAATATTCCCTGCAGGCTAAAAAAAAAGAAAAGAAAGGGGGGGAGGGGGATTTATAATTTTATTTTTTAAATGTCACAAAGCATTACAGCAACAGACAGGGCACGGGGACTGGAGGAGCTCCAGGAGCCTCCATAAAGCAGGTCAAAGGGAGTGCCCACTATTGCTATCAGACAAAAAAAAAAAGTCACACAGCTCAGAACACGAGAATAAAACAGCACAAAAATAAACAAAACAAAAAGCTACACACCAGTAAGAGAAACGAAAAATTAAATTACACATCTTTCCAAATAACAACGCCAAAGATATCAAATAGGATTTAAAAAAAAAATAATAATAATAATAATAAACTCATGCTCTCGAAATCGAATGGTTTACTAATAAAGAGGTAATCCTAGTGCAGGGACCCCCGGGGGCCGACACACGCCAGCAGAAATGCATGTGTATGGAGGAGCCAGCAGGGGGCGCCACTGCACTGGAGAGCATAGAGGGGAAAACGAAAACACAGAGGCTCCTAATTGGACACAAACCGGCGGACAGGTCAGTCTCAGCGACCCAGTGATTGAAGAAACTACCTCGTTTAGGTTGGAGCTCACTGAGACTGACATCTCCATCCAGCTCAGCCTCTGATAAGAACTCTTAAAATCCTGTAAAAGAGGAGACCGGACAACATAGCTACTCAAAACAGTCTCACTGAATTGATTTACGCAGAGTAAAAATAAAAATAACCGCGCCATAATAAATAGAGAGAGAGAGATAGAGAGAGAGACAATACTCTGGCATGCAGGCGAGCACATTTAAATCCTCCGAATTAAATTAAATTCACGTAGCGTAAATGAACGAAAGGAAAAGAGCTAGTCCACCATATGCACGTTCCCACTGATTGATACAAGCAAAGTAAGTACATGAACAAGAGGAATCCAACCAACATCCACAAAGACTGAAAACTTGCAGCGTTATCATCTTCTCGGGTTAATAATATTGCTTCGCAGTGATGCTCATGATAGAAACTGGAATTAAATGTCATGTATCTGCCTAAAAAGGACACACGATAGCCAGGACTCGCCGTGACAGTTCGCTAATACAATTATTGCATGTTGCTCGTTTCCTTTTTCTTCAACGATCTCGGATCCAGCGTCCACGCCAGCGACAGGCTGGTGCTCAAACTCATTCATAGCAAACCTGCTGCTTTACGGATGGTTTATTACAAAAGTGTTTCCGCGAGCGTCCGCCTGACGAGGCGTGTGCGCTGGAGACCCTCGGCAGTGCTTTCTGCAAGTGTGTGTTCTGTGTCCTATGTTTAATACGCGAGAGAAAGTTCATCAAGAGATTCATAAACAAACACACACACACATAGAGAGAGAAAGTAGTAATAAACACACTTTTAAGTGTAAAATTCATATAACTGCTGCTGCTAATATCCGAAACAAACAAACCATGTGTCATTTTAATGCTAAAATTTGATCGCAATATGAAAAAGTGGACGAAGCCAAGCATTTTGGGCCCTCGATACCAAACGCCAAGAGAAAACAAGCCGTATAAAAACAAACCAAAACTTAAAAATCTCCATTTACAAGCACAAACGACTCCTGGATCGATGAGTTGCGCGATTGATCTGCAGACGACTGATCGATAAACATTAAAACGACAAGAACGACGATCATCTACTCTAACAAACTGTTAAAGTTTACCACAAAAAACCATTTATATTAAACTCTTACAAATCTGATTTGACTCTTATGTATAAATGCATAAAAGGAAGGGAGAGTGCTGTATGTCGCAAGCCTAGCCAATCAGACGCCTGTGCAATGGCCACACATCCGTTGAGCGATCAATAACACATGCGCCGCTTCTGGACCAACACAAGCCTGCTTTTAAAAACAACCCCAGCGGCCTGTGGAGGGACCATGGGTAATGCTACTGCTACACAAAAACCATCAGCTTATCATCAGAGCCAAGAGGAATATGCTTATAGAGTTGTAAATATTTATACATATTTTTTTTTCCATATATCTATGTGTGTGTTAATATAAAAAAAGAAGAGGCATTTACAGCAGTTTGCTCCTAGATTTCCCTTTACAATTCAGTGGCCTGCACATTCACACATTCACACACACACTCAAACACACACACACACACTAAATGGGAGCAGGGTAATGGGTATGTACAACCCAGGTCACCTCGTTTGTAAAAGACCATGAGGAGAGTCAACAAAAACAAAACCCCGCCCCCTTCGTTAACATGCAAGCCCCGCCCTCCCCTCCCTCCCTCCCACACAAAAAGACAAGATTCAGCCGATGGCGGCTTGAGGTAAAAGTAGACAGAGTCCAGCTTAGCCGAGAGAGCCAGAGCTGCCCTGACCGGTGGCGCAGGTTTTGCTCACACTCAGTGTATATTACAAATCAAAAAGACATTCAAAAAATCAAAACTAGAAAGAAAGGATAAAAATAAACGGTTAAAAATGGCTCAATTTGATTTTGTTTTTTTGTTTTTTTTTCTGTGTGCATTGGAGGTCAGTGGCCCCTCAGTGCAGGACTGCTGGTAGAGGCTGGTTCTTCTGAGGCCGAACATTGTGGACTGGACTGACTGACAGACGGCCCCCGCTTCAAGAGAGAGAGATAACAGAGAGAAATACAGCATGAGAGAGAGAGAGTGAGATAATAGAGAGAGAGAGAGAGAGAGAGAGAGAGAGAGAGAGAGAGAGAGATAATAGATATAGATGGAAGGAGTGTAGAAGTGCGCCTCCTGCTGGCTGTGGTCAGGCGAAGTACATGGTGTGCTGTGTGTCGTAGTGAATCTGCACAGCTTTCGCCAGCGCCTGCGGGTCTCGACCGTTGCTCTGTCCTGATACGTGACTGCCTTCAGCACTGAGACACAAAGCACACACACACACACACACATCAATATACACTGTCCGGGATGTGTGTGTTACAGAAACTCTAAGGGGACCCATTATGCACTTTGACATTCCTTTTTTGCACATGGCAACTTTCAGTAATGTTAGTTTGTGTTTTTTAATTTAAATTGCATGTAACTTATTAATAAAATATAATAAGTTTATTAGTGTATGTGGGATATTCAGTGTATTCAGACCTACAGTATGGTCTGATTAGCTATTTCATACATTACTGTAGTTCAAACCATGCATTTTATTTGGCTAATTTTAGGCGATACGGAGAAACAAACAGTCTTTGCACACTTACGGTGTCAGTCGAAGACTGTTGAATGTATGTTCTCATTGACTGATTGGCACAGTTATGCATTCACAATGGTATGAACCGTTATAGGGGTGGTCAAATGTGTATTTATATTACCTATTATTTCAATTATTGACATTATTATTTAAAATACAGTCCAGAGTGAACTACTTCTCCGTATTAAAGGGCTGACCCCCCCTATGCATTTTGTGTTTATCTCCTTCAGGCAGTGTTGCCAGATTGGGCGGTTTTGAATTTGATTGTGGGTAAAAAAATGGCAGGCGGGTTGACAAAATTTAGGCGGTTTTGAAACATGATTTTTATTTTATATATGCAACTTATTTAACAAAACATATGTGCTCCTACTCCATTCAGTTAGTACTGACCAGTGCACAGTGCAAACCGCCGGGTTCTACCCGCAAGAGTTGAAGAAAAGTTATCAATATCTGACTCCACTTCACGAGAAGTTAAACGCACAGCGGTTTATCATGACACTTTTATCAATCGTTTTTTCCGCAATTAACAGCAAGAACAAACATAGAAGCATTTTCTGATTGACAAGCAGCACCTAATTATATAAGAATTTAAAATGGGACAAATTTATATCCCAATTCAAAAGTAAATACTCAAATAGGTAAGTGCAGTATGTGGGTGAGAGGGAGGGCAGGGTTTTGATGGGATCCGGTTATGCTGTGGTTCTGTGACTGCTGGTGTTGTGTGCTGTATGGTTTAAAATATATAACAGGTAAACTAGGTTAATTAAATAAAATATTGATCTAATATTTTGGGTGTTTTTTTGTGTGCGTTTGGGCGGGTTTTGGGCTGGAAAAAGTCTGCTATATCTGGCAACACTGCCGTCAGGGGGTGTAATTAGGGGGATCAGACATCACCAAACTCCCTTGTAATTTGCACACCGATTACACAGTAGAAGAACTGGAAAAAAGTACAGATGGATACCAGTGCCGCATTACAAGTACAATACCAGTAAAAACCTGAACGGTACCCAACTGCACTAATTTCAAACCTTTCTATTGAACATAAGATATTTTGAATAAAGCTGGAAAACTAAGTACTAATGTCTACAATATTTGTTTTTCCTACAACAGAAGTCAATGGGTTACCGGCTTTAAGCTTTAATCAAAATATCTTCTTTTGTGTGCAGCAGAACTCAGAAGCTCAAAAGGTTTGAAACCATTTCGAGTATGAATAAATAATAAAAAAAAAAACTTTTAAAAAGAGAGATTTCACCCAAAACTTACAATTCTTTCAGCGTTTATTCACTATTCGCTTGTTTTAAACCTGTTTAAATGTTCTCTTTTGTTGAATGCAAGAGTAGATATTTTGAAAAATGCTGAAAACTTCAAACTACTGACTTCCATAGCATTTGATTTTCTACTATAGAAGTCAATGGTTACCGGTTTTCAACATTTTTCAAAATATCTTTTCTTGTTTTTGGTAAACACAAAAGCTGACATTTTGAAGAAAGCTGAAAACCTGTAACCATTGACTTCCATAGCATTTAATCTTCTACCATGAAAGTCAATGGTGACAGGTTTTTCTAACATACCTTCGTTTGTGTTCAACAGAAGAAATAAACTCAAAAGGTTTAGAATGATAATTTTAGGATGAACGCTCCATTTAACACCACATTTTCTTTTGTGTGACGAGCTCAACACGTATTTATGGTCACTTTACACAGGCTCTTAATACTGAAGTGTTACTAACCTGTCATGGTCTTTGTCCACTAAATGATAGCGTGCACGGAAGGCCACTAGCCGGGCATAGTAAGCTGGCGCGGGGATGGAGACGGAGCGGGTGCAGCGCACATAAGTGTGGCAGAGCTGATAGGTCAAAAGCTGGAGCT